TTTGCAAAAGGAAAAAAAAAAAAAAACGGCTCGATTTTCTCTGCTTGGTTCGACTTTTGTAAGGAAAAATGGTGAAAGGGTTCTTGACTTGGAGCTGTTTGAACAATCATATTGTGGGAGATGTGAACTGTAAAATCAGTAGTTGAAAAAGCTACAGTTGTAACTACATAAATATATAGATTTTTAAAAATAAAATTATATTTGATTCTTTTCATCTTTCTCCAATCTCTTCTATTGTATCATGATGTTAAATGACATGCTGTTTTTCTGCTGTACCATTTTCTGGAAAATTTAAATTTTAAGATAAGAGTTACAAAAGAGAATCCTGAGATTTAGCTCAATGTACAGATTTCTGTAGTGAGATTGCAAAATTAAATCTATTACCAAAGTCCCACAATTTATTGAAAATTTCTATTCTTTTGTAAGCACGCATAGAGATGTAAACGAGACGAACTTGATTTTGAGTCTTTATCGAGCCGAGCTAAACTTATTAACAAAACAAAACAATAAACAAGCACATGCTCGGCTCGTTTATCTCTAAACACACATTTTCGTATGGGGCTGTTTTTAGTAATTAACCCCATTTTCGTATCATGGCTCTTTTAGAATCACTTTCTGGAAAATTATCATCTCCTCAACAGTACACTTGCATACAATATGAAGCATATATATAGAGTGGATACAAATTGCATCAATATCCACCCCTATTCCAAAAACTACATTACAAGTTGAATACATTTGGTATTTTGGAAAAAAAATCCAAAATCACACTATAATATAACAAAAGAATACACTCGAGGGGTTTGGCACAAGAATAACAAACAAAAACGCGAGGTAAAATATCAAGAAGATCGAACCCTCGAGTATAACAATGGCAGTCATTATTTCCATTTGCCAACACAAAAACAAGAAGCCCACTGGTGAATTCAGAGGGAATTGTGTGGAATCGAACCCATTAGAATAACATTGTCCACACGTCTCGTTTCCTTTTTTCTGGGAATTTGGGACCTTCCTGGCATTACTTTGGAGAACAAATCGGCAAGAAGCCCAGTCGTGCTATTTTCTGCCCTTTTTTTCTCAATTAGATTCAAGTTGCTGTTCAAACTATTACTGGAACCTTGCTTCGGTTGCTCGTGGTTGAAACGAGCACCACAAGGACAAGAAGCCAGTTTTTCGAAACAATTTTTGTGGAAAACCAGTTCACAGGATTTACACTTTTCGACCTCTCCTTCCTGTCGAATTCAATAATTTATATGTTAGCCAATTTCTCTACCATACAGAAATATTCAACACGCTACACAGTATTCCCTGATATTTTTCATGGTCTCAACCTTCAAGAGAAAGAGGAAAAGGGAAAATAAAGAATAACTATAACCACAAACCTGAAAAGGAAAAATTAGAGAAAGTGGATTGTTACAGTCATTTCGAGCACCGCAGGGAATACCAGCATCATAGCATACAAGGCATTGCTCAGTGATGTGTTCCTGGATTTTTCGAGATACAGTTTCAACCATCACGGGCAGTGCTGTAATAGCAAAAGTTAAAAATTATCATGAATCAAGATAAATTAACATTATCCAAAGCCACACAGAGAAAATATTATTGACGGGCTTACTCTTGGGACCATTATATTAATGATTTACATGTTCTTCATTCTTATTACCAAAAGATATCAACCTCATAGCATGAAAATTGAAGTGATCACACTTCTGTGTTACTATAGCCAAAGAATATAACCTTATACGTGCTAAAGTGCAGTCCAAATAAACCAATTGCCCAATTTCCCATTAAAAAAAAGTTGAAAATCAAAGCATATTATTTCGACTTTCACCTGAAAACACTCCATTAGAGAGACTGATGAGGTCTTTCAGTGCGAAAAAATCATTGCTGTCCAGAAGATAACTA